CGTCAGCATTTGATGACGAATTACGGGTTACGCCAAAATCATAGCAAAATCATAGGAAAAACAAAGAAGTCGGCCTTCTGTGTACCTTCTTCTGTGACTTGGCCTTGTATTGTCTTTACTTGCGAGCTTTCCGCGTGATTAAACCCACTTTTTACTAACTCTGTCAAGATTACTCAAGTGATGGATATGGAAATCACCAGCGTGGAAGCCCATTGTGATTTGGATATAATTTCTGGCTTCTGCTAAGATATTTTAGCTCACGAAATGCATGTTAACAGAATCGATTGTGTATTTTGTGTCGTATTGATATAAAGTATGAACGTATTATTTGCCAGTTCATCTTCAGCCTTTATGCATTGCATGAAACACGAGCGCTTATATGGAGTTTAAAAATGATATAGCTACCAATTTAGATTTACAAAGTTTATGTTATTTATGTAGATATTTGGCCGCATTTTAATACACTATATTTATACTTTAAATGCTACGGCAATTTTATTATATTTAAATACCATAGCCATAGGCATAGCGTACTGAATTATACAATCAGAGTACCAAGCGTAGTGGTCCGTAGTTGATACCACTCCGTTTAATATGGTTTATTAAACATTACTAACAAACGTAGTAATTTTTTAACGAACGCTAGCCGTATATGTAGTCATTGTAGTGTTGTATATTCAACAGGCACTACAACAATTGTTGAGTTACGCAATTGCACGTTGACCAAGTGAAAGATCATATTACAGACGTGTATTGAAAACATGATAAGTTTCCTCTTACACGACTTGACTATATTTAGCTAAATTTTTAAGTTGAAAAATATATAGTGAAATATGATAAATATGGAAATACGATTTAAAAAAGTGACAAAATATTTTTCCAAAAAAGTGTCTAATTTTTTGATGCTCCCTTTGGGTATTTCGCCGTGAAATCGCAGGAAATGGCCATTCCAGACTTCTAAAATTAAAAATTTTCCGGGGGAGCATGCCCCCGGACCCCCCTACAATGTGTGAGTTTTAGAGCAGGACCCGTCGAATTTCGCTAGCTACGCCACTGATTCTACTACAAGCTGTCGTGGTTTGTGTTTCAACTACCAAGAGATTATACAGGGTGTATAAAAAAAAACTGAACAGATTTGAAATTGCTCTCAATTTCGCAAAACAGCCATTAGTATCTAGTTTTTGATGTATAAGCTTCTTTGGGTACTTATAAGGTAGAATAATGAAAAATATTCTCGAACTCAAATTTTGTAAACCAGGGGTGTGTGTCTTTTCCAACAAACTAAAAATGGCTTGCGCACGAAATTTAAAAGCTTTAATCGTATTTTGAGTTAATGGATGGAAACTTTGTTGGGTTTTTAATTACTGTACAAAATGTCAGACAATTTGCTTCAGTTTAAGCCCTTTAACTATCCATTTTTCCCTAAAAAATCAGCCTTTCGCATGCTTAATTAATGCCTTTACCTAATTTGCATATTGCTGACATATGCAAATTGGGTAAATGCATTAACTAAGCATGCAAATTGCTGATTTTTTAGGAAAAATGTAAGTTTGCGTGAATAGTTGAAGGGCTTAAACTGAAGCAAATTGTCTGAAATTTCGTACAGCAATTAAACACCCAACACATTTTTCATCCAAAATACGATTATAGCTTTTAAATCTCGTGCGCAAGCCATTTTTAGTTTGTCGGAAAAGACACCCCCCCCCCTGGTTTACAACTGTTTGTGTTCGAGAATTTTTTTTCATTATTCTACATTATAAGTACCCAAAGAAGCCATATATATCAAAAACTGGCTACTAATAGCTGTTTTGCGAAATTGAGAGCAATTTCGAATCTGTTCAGTTCTTTTTTTATACACCCTGTAGAATACTTCAGATGTAGAAGTCATGGTAGAAAATATCAAGATTTTTTTGGCATCTCACTCGGTTCAATAGTTGAAGGGTGTTGTGGATGATCGAGTGGAAATTTATACACATTTTATTAGACATTGTATATAAATTTCCACTCGGGTTGATTCCAGCTATGGACGAAATTTTGATCCAGACAAGAAGAACGAAATCCATTACCATAGCTGGAAAGAGCATCGTAAAATGAGTAAAATTGCAAAGATTGGTTGCGAATTGTTGTAAAATGAGGAAAATATAGCCCTGTGAAGTTCGCAAATTTTGTATATATTTGCATTACACGCAGGAAAAATAACCATTTTTTTTTCAGCCGAAAGTGGTTATTTTTACCGCGCGTAATGCAAATATATACAAAATTTGCGAACTTCACAGGGCTATATTTTTTCATTTTACAACATTTAGCAACCAATTTTGCAGTTTTACTCATTTAAGACGCTCTTTCTAGCTGTGGTGTTGGATTTCGTTCTTCTTGCCTTGATCAAAATTCAATATATACCTGGAATCACCCATTTCCATCAACAACACCCTTCAAGTCATGACAGAAAATACCATCTTTCACCTGACGAAAATATTTTTACCATTGCCACTTTATCTTACCGTATGAATAAAGAATATTCTAAAATTTTTAGCTTCCACTTTTAAATCTTTTGTCCTGAAAGGATATTATTACGAATCTTAGCAGAAAGAAATTTTTCTTTGTTGTTGCAGACGTATAATGCAACCCATAAAATACTAACCATGGAATTTCTCCCTTTAAAACCATGGCTTGTGGATCAACGTAATAAAGATGCGGTCCCTCAGTCAGAATTAACTGTCTCCTCCGGGCAAACAATCCCTACATTGAAAATAAGAAACAATGTTACATGTTACACCATGTATTTAATTTAATTCTGAGCTTTCGGCCCGTGTACTCGTATACATAATATATATAATATTTAGCAAACATTTTCCGTGTACGATATACAGTTATATCAACACGAGTGGAAATTAGGAAAACGAGAAATTCCTACTGTGATCACAGAAACTTTGATAGTGTAAACTAGGTAAGATGTAGAAATATTTGAATGTTTATGTTACCTTTCGCTTGTCGATCAGTCCAGTTTTTAAAATAAGATTATTACCCACGAAACCTGACCTGAAAATAAATAACAATGACCACAGCTTAAATGCAAGGAGTTCTATCCGTCATTTATAATCCTGATCTCAACCCATCGAGGTAATTTTTTGCTGTACTTTGCAACCCATCCTCAGAGCCCTGTTATGTAAAACATGTTCACTGCAGTAAAATTGAGAACTTGTACCACATTCTATTTGCTGACAATTCTCATCACTTTACATACTATAAAGGCATGAAAGAAAGGAATGAAAAATACCAATACCAAAAATGAGGAACAGCCCATGTGCACTTATTTACTATTAGTACATTTTTGAGACAACATCGCTCTATGTCAAAAATTCCGTTGCAAGGTACGGTGAAAAATGCCTCGTGTAACATTGCCGGGTTCCAGAGTTATCGCAATCTCCAAGCATCAGTTTACAATTAAGAGAGTGGACACCTTGTCTAACATGGACAAACTCTCTCGTTCCCCCACCTATCCACCACTGAGAGGGGGTGGGGTGGCACCCTGTATAATATATTACCATGGTGATTCGTCCTCCTGTTTCCTCAGTCTCTCCTGGCGTTCCTGTTCAGACAACATGGTGTTTTCTTGACATACAACAGGGACTGGCATGTCTTCTTCGACTATACCCAGGTTCTCTAGAATACCCACGTCAATATCACTATCCGTCGAATGCAAAGAGTTGATCTGAATTGAATTATTGAGACATTTTATCAATACCACCGGGTCCACCGGACGTATAATTTTTAATCCTAATTTGACAAGCTTTGTCCCAACGTTAAGATTACATAACAAATAACAATAATGAAATATCTAACATTACAAATTGTGAATTACAAATTGGCCATTACAAATTGGCCAATTACAATTAACATTACAAATTGGCCAATTACTAGTGTGATCCCAAACAAATTCGAAACCAGAACGAGATTCGACTCTTACTGCATGAAAATAAGGCTTGTAATCACCTCGGCTTCGGTGACTAATTGGGTTAGCACTATTTTCCATCCAGCAAACTGACCTGACATCATTTTCGGAAGATAGAAGAGGTGTTAAATGGCTATGTAACAAACCCAAACCCTACCACTACTCTAACCCCTAACCGAAACCCTAACCCTAACCCTAACCCTAACCGAATTAATAAAAAAATTAAAAAAAAACAAACCGACTTTAGAAAATCGATAGGGCGGTTTGCTGGATGGAAAAAAGTGCTAACCGACTAATTGTTAGATAGTTTCATAAAAGATGCGAGTTTGAATCCCGCTCCAGGCAACACATTTTTCGTTGTTTTCTTCAGCGTCAGATATGAAACTAACAAATGAAAACATTTTCGTACGGTCCAAAAAAGGTGATTACCTCACTATCTCCCCAGAACTCAGGCCCATCAGCACACGTGGCTGGCAGGTAAGGAAGAAGTCGTGGTGGAGTCTCTTTGGAAAGATTTTCCCAGTCTATTCCTGAAAGAATTGTTCTCATTATCATTATTTTGTAGTTAAATTAATGTTAATTAATTAACTAATTAATTAATATTGTTCTCATTATCATTACGTTCTCATTATTTTGTAGTTAATTAATTAATTAATTAATTAATTAATTAATTAATTAATGTTATTTATTAATTAATCAATTAATTGAATTAATTAATTAATTGTATTAATACTTATTTCATTAATTAATTGACTAATTAATTAATTAATTAATTAATTAATTAATGTTAATTAATTAATTTTGTAGTTAAATTAATTGTTAAATTAGTAGTTAATTGTAAAATGCGCATTATTCATTGGTTAGCTTTCGCACTAGCTGTAGTTAACTTTAATCACCTTTTTAATTACTTTTCTATACAACTAGCGCCAGTACAGTACTGTGGTTGAAGACATTGATTGTCTAATAAGCTGGACAAAGTCAACTTCATTTGCTCAAGCAGGTATAAAATAATTGAAAGGGGAACAACGTCTGACACCACATTACTAACCTTCATAAAATGGATCTGCTTTCAAAGGTGGATAGCCTTCCATTTCATCACAACCAAGTCTTTTGGTGGGGTCCAAAACCTAATGAGCAAACAGGGGTTAGCGTATGTGTCGCTATGGAGTCGTTCTGACAGAATTCATAGAGCCACAGACCTCATATACACTCACTGTGCTTAGTGTTATACTCACTAAAAGACGCTCCACTAGTGCTTTGGGGCACTCTGGAAAACCATTTGGAAATTCGTATTCTAATTTGATAATTCTCTGAAACACTTGGTATTCATTGCTAAAACGAAAAAAAAATTGCTTACCCATGGAAATCAGCAAACATTGAAAATTTCACGTGAGGCTTTTATGTGTGACTTTATAAGGACTATATATGTGTGACTTTATAAGAACTATATGCGTGACTTTATAAGGACTATATGTTTAACTTTACCTTGCTCTAAACGGTGGCAAACCTGACAGAAGTTGGTAAATAATACATCCTAATGCCCACAGGTCGGAGCTGAAAATGGAAGATGACATGGAGATATGAGTGAAGAAATTGCGTCTGGAATTGAGTTTCTTCAATGAAACGAAGAACTCGTTTTACAAATGGCAGAACTTCCATTTCAAATGGCAAAACACCCTTTTCAAATGGCAGAACACCCTTTTCAAACGCAAGAACTCCCTTTTCAAATGGCAAAACTCCCTTTTCAAATGGCAAAACTCCTTTTTCAAATGGCAAAACTCCCTTTTCAAATGGCAAAACTCCCTTTACAAATACCAGAACTCCCTTTGCAAATACCAGAACTCCCTTTACAAATGCCAGAACTCCCTTTACAAATGCCAGAACTCCCTTTACAAATGCCAGAACTCCCTTTACAAATGCCATTTTCAGATGGCAGAACTTGTCAACTTGACAACTTTATTTTGATTATTAATTAAAATGAAGATTAGTTTGTTCTTTTACCGAAAGTGACCGGTCAAAATGACTGGCAAGGTAAGTATTTGACAGGACATTAGAGACCTTACGATTTTAAGACGGCAACGCGACGACGACAGCCAAAACAAAACTACTTCAAATAAATGGTAGTAAAAATAATTCGTTGTATATTATCAATCGTATGAATTTAATACAGTCTTAGAAGTTGAAGACATGGGTTTTATGGTTGGGAAGAGTTCTGCTGAACCCAGTTTGAAGTTGCACTTGTTGCGGCTTGAAATGCAGCCATTGTATCAAGACGTGAAAATCTGTGATTTGGCGTTGTAAACAGAGCAATGTCTAAATCATTCATATGTTGTAATTATTCAATTCTCTTCAATAGTTTATTGTATTGGTAGCCGTTGCCGTCCTTAATCGTAAGGTCTCTAACTCCGCATTCTGGCCAGACATTGTCCGTTGACAGGCAGTTATTTCGAGCCCTGTTGAATGCATTCACTTAGCGATCTAAACGAAATCCAAGTTGTATTCCCCAGGAACAGATTGAAACGAGCTTTTGCTGATGGGGCTATCGTCTTTAAATAAAGTTCCATTTTTCATACTGAAGTAATTTGTGCAATACCTTTTACATGCTTTCTTGTCTGTTAACAATTCTGGTGAAACATACTGAGCTGTGCCAACAAATGAATTTCGTCCAGCTACAAAGCGAGTAAGGATAGTTACAGCCACAAAAGAAGACAATAGGTTGTATAAACAGGACAACAGGTCGTGACTTTTCTGCGGGTACTCTGGTTTTCTCCCATATGGAATGTTGACAGAGTCTGTGGCTGTGCTCTGTGCAGGGGCGTAGGAACCGGAGGGGAGCAAGGGGACACGTGCCCCTCCCCCAATTTGTTCAAAGTGCCCTTTTTTGTGATGAAAAGTGCCCTTTTTGTTCAAGCTAATGTTGCTGTAAATACTATATTAACATCGCAGGTGTCCTTTTTGTGAGAAAATTTTGATGTTTTTTTTTTAAAAAAACGTTCATTGTACGTTGGAATTCGAGAATTTTTAGGCGCCATTTTCACTTTCAAAAGTGCCCCTGGAAGCCGGTGCCCCCCCCCCCTCCCCGGTTTCCCAACACTATCACGCATTCTAGTTAAGTTGAAACATGGTTGGAACACTCATCAAACCTTTTCTTTGTCATTTTTAGGCGCCATTTTCACTTTCAAAAGTGCCCCTGGAAGCCGGTGCCCCCCCCCCCTCCCCGGTTTCCCAACACTATCACGCATTCTAGTTAAGTTGAAACATGGTTGGAACACTCATCAAACCTTTTCTTTGTCTTGCGATTTCTTGGGTGGAACTAATACACGCTTCCGGAAAGTACGTCGCCTTGGCTATAGAGCCTCGTTTCCATGACTGAAACATCGGACTTTGACTAATGTCAGGAACACGAAAACGAGGCTCTATAGCCAAAGTGACGTACTTTCCGGAAGGGTGTATTAAGCCGGTTTCTTCACCAGGCGGAATTTTGCGCGCGGAGCGGAATTTTTCTTCTGAAAAATTCCGCTCCGCGCGCAAAATCCCGCCTAGTGGAAAACCGGCTTAATACACCCTTCCGGAAAGTACGTCACTTTGGCTATAGAGCCTCGTTTTCGTGTTCCTGACATTAGTCAAAGTCCGATGTTTCAGTCATGGAAACGAGGCTCTATAGCCAAGGCGACGTACTTTCCGGAAGCGTGTATTAGTTCCACCCGAGAAATCGCAAGACAAAGAAAAATTCCGCTCGCAAAATCCCGGCTAGTAACCGACTTAACTTTGTTAATCTAGAGCTTGAAATATGCCCTGTAACAATGCGTGACTAACAACTCTCATCCACATTCGATTGGGGCTTAAGGGGATTAGCTCCACCCCCCCCCCCATCTCCTCCCTGACTGACCTTGTCCACTCTGATCAGGACTGCCTAGAATCTTTGCTGTTCCAAAATCTGTGATCTTAATATGCATGTCTTCACTCAGTAAAATGTTCTCCGGCTTCAGATCTCTGAGAAACAACAAATATTAAAGTCCATTTCCACATCAGGAAAATTTTCCGCAGAAAGAAAATTTTGTAAAATATGATTGGCCGACACAAAGTTTCCGTCGGAAAAAAAATTTGAGGTTGAAAATTAACAATGATATTTTCGGAAAATTCTCCGTCCGTGGAAATTTTTTTGACTGGAAATGGGCCTTTAAAGTGATGTTGAGGACTATAGCATTTATAAACGACAGTTCTTAAAATTCTATGGAAATTTTTTTTTGTTATTAATTTTACAATTATAACAATTGAAGACTCAGACAACAGGACAAATAAAATCCTAAATTAAGTTGTGCCTCAACTAAGACTATGTGCACACGGCACGTTTTCGAGCGTTTTCATTTGTTGCAAACACTATCAATTTACGCAAGACGCTGTAGTTTATTTAATATATTGGAGATATTTTCCTTTGGACCGTGTGAACAGAGCACCAAAACGATTAAAGGGACAAAAACGTTTTTGAAAACGCTGAAAAACGACGCCCGTGTGCACATAGCCGGCGGTCCTGTCCTGTCCCTACCTATGAATTATGCCCAGTCCATGTAAGTGTTCCAGTGCTGCGATAATCTCGCCTGAATAAAACTGTGTACATTTCAAATCAAATGAACCAAGCTATAAAGTACAATAATGAATTCATGTTATTGACTCGAGATCTTCCTGATGTAACAGAGAAATTTGGCTATAACACTTGTTTACACCCAACAGACTTTTCCATAATTACGTCATGATTCACGAGAGTGAGGCTCCCAGGCCAAGATGACGTAATCATGACGTAATTATCGAAAAGGTGTATTCACAACTTTAGATAAATCACATCAGTCAGATGCCTAATTATCATTGTTCTAGTATAGAATAGAACAAAGGTAATTAAGCATTAGAATTATCTACATGAGTAACTCTTATACATAATTCTAAAGGTCCAGACACACCGGACGCGATTCGACAACGCGACGCGATTTTCACTGACCGATAACTTTGATCCTACTTTGTATTTTCCAAATATTTAGAAGCGTTATAATATTTTGAGTTATTTGGTCTACATATCTTTCAAAATTTGCTCTCATTGCCTGTTTTATTAACTTTCAAAAACGTAAAAACCCCGTCGCGTTGTCGAATCGCGTCTGGACATAGACAATAATGATTAAATGTAAGATGTCTTCTGGATTGTCTATGGTCTGGACCTTAAAGCTCAGTTACCTTTCTTCTATTCTATGTTTCTGTAAACTAGAACAATACTAACTAAGCATGCGAGTTCTCTAAAGTTTGGGTAGCAACGATGTTAAACAACGTTAACAAAATTTGTCTATAGTCGTTAAAATGAGTATTTCCTTTCATTCTGTGTTTACCTTGTTTATATAGGGAAGCAGTTCACCTTTCTTTGCTAAACTTAAACCATAATCTGTAGTAAAGGCTGAATTAAGGAAATACAGGCTTGTTTCAAACGTTGTGCTTCTCACGTGCCGAACGCATAAGAAATAATAGATAATGAGGCAGTTCAGCTGATTATCTATTGTTTTTAATGCGTTCAGCACATGAGAAGCGCGATGTTTGAAACAGGCCACAATTGGGCAGTAACCAGGGCGACTCTGAGGTTGAACAAGCCAAAACGTTCCCAGAAAAGCTGTGTTTTAAAATATATTGCACGTTATTACATATCATGAGAAATGTGAGAAAAAAGGAAATAAATTCACCAGTAACAATGAAACTAATCAATAATGTAAATATTGTATCTATTCTTAACTCTGTGAAGCGCTTTTGATCAATTAATGTAAATAGCGCTATACAAGTATTAAATTTATTATTATTATTATTATTAACCCACTGACACAGTTAGGATTTATATTTTCATTTAAACAATCTTGTATGTCTGCCTGTCTTGTTTGTTGCTTTCGGGGGGCCCTCTTTTGAGTTGGGACCCAGGATGAAAATGCCCCTTGCTCCCCTCCTATTAACAGCCCTAGCAATAATTACAAGAGGAAACCAGAGTCCCAAGAGAAAATCTGTGGCGTTTGGTAGAGTCAAACTGGAAGCATTCTTCTCACATGTGACTGACAAGGAATTATAAATTGCAGGAATGAAGCCCCTGGAGTTTTTCAGAAAAGCACAGACATTGACCACTGAGCTACCAACACAACTGAGTACAAACAAACAAAGAAGGATACAGAGACGTTCTTTATCTTGAAAAGTGAAAAAAAGTTGTACAAAAAATGGATGTGACAAACGACTCAGAACTTCTTTCTCCCGGGAGACATAAGGAACCTTCTTCTCTCGTATGATGTGACGTTTCTCTAAAATTTTCACTATAAAAACAATCTACAGTAAAAATAGGTACGCACTGCGGACATAACCCCCAAAGTACTTGCAATGTAAATGTCTCAATCACTTTCTTTTGCAATAAAATTTGGTCTTCTACCTTATAGTATAATTTCAGTATTGAAAAATGGCCTTTGAGCATTCTGATTGACTCCCTCAGCAGTAACTCTGAGGCAATAACTACTGCTCAGACTGCTCTGCTCAGACTGCTCTGAGCAGTCTATTGCTTTTCCACCAAAAATGGCTGAAAACGGAAGTAAATTATTTATGCAAATTATATTCATAAAATAAACATGTGTATTAGTAATAAAACTTTTTCAATACTGAAATTATACTAAAACAATTAGTCGCCTCAGGCTCAGTGATTACAAGCCATTCGGTGACTAATTGTTAAATAGTGTTTTCTCAATGAGTTCCAGTTGCTCAGTTCATTTCCTAATTTCAAGTGCTATAGAGCCTCGTTTTTGTGATTGAGATATCGGCTTTTAAGCCCTTTATTTTGTTACTGATGATGTAATTATAAAGGTCTTTTATCTAATTTAATTACATGATTTAATCACAAATGTGTCCACCAGTAAAAAGATAAAGTACTCTAAACCCAATATCTCAAATCATGAAAACGAGGCTCTATAGCCAAGGTTGAGTACTTTCCTCAAGGATGTATTCCTCTGATCAACACCTCAACATTTTGAAGAAGTTCAAAAATTCATAACTGCTTGTTTAAATTGACCAATGAGAATCGCTCTCCGATAGGAAGAAAAACAGACAAATAAGCAATAACATTGACTCCGAAAGGTCAACTGTCCATTACTCCAATATCAAATGTCTTGGCATGCACTAAGACATATTCAAGACATACACTAACTTAGGAAAATATTTGTATATTTTTCCCAAATATAAAATTCTGATTTTTCACACTTGAACAGGTACTTTTGATTTTATGTCATTTCCAAGCACTATCTTTCTGAAATTCTATGCAAATTACCAATTTTACCAATGAATTTCAATATATTACAACAACAAAAATATATCACAATAGTCAAAACATTTGAGTTTTGAAAACATTATGTACATGTAAACAAATGTTATTTGTCTAAAATTTTATGCAATTTACCAATTTTAAAACAAATTTCAATATTACAACAACAAAAATATATCACAATTAACAACAGTCAAAACATTCACATCTTTAGGCAGGGCTGTTAATGAATATTTTCACATAATTGATCAGTCAATGACGTATGTTATGACGTTTTTCAAGGAGTTTCCTCAAAATATTGAGCTGTTGATCAGAGAATTTTCTTGAAGTTAGGAAATGAATTAATCCATTAATTTTCATTGCGCCCTACTATATAATTTTATTTACTCTGTCTAATGAATCAGTCTAATGCATAAAGACGAGAGCACCAGCAACTCGAACTGTCTGCCCATGTGTCTAATTAACCCCCCTCAGTGGCATAGCCAGCCAGACAATTTAGTCCCGTTATGCAAATTCAAAATTATTATCATTATTCATTTCTTTAGAAATTGATTGTTTTCATAGTCAATGAACACAAAAATATTTGCATAGCGGTACTAAATCGTCAGGCTGGCTACACTACAGATCCCCGTTAAGTTGCACTGTGGCCCTAATTTGTCCTACTCTATTATTTCACTCTGTATAACACCATATGATTTTACTCGTTGAGTTGAGAGAGCTGGCTCTCAATGCAGTAATCAATATTTTTTAAACACTTCTATTGGCATGACTGTAATTTGTTTGTGGTATTTTATAAAGTTTATACTTACTTGCAAACTCTTTCCCTGTGTTAATTTCTCTTGCTAACTGCACCTACAGTATTTTTACAACAATTAGCCCAAGAGCTGCCTGGATATCTGAGAATGAGGAATCCTGGTGTTCAATTAATTTTTGCAATATGCAGTTGTTTGATTATAATATTTCCTCTCTTATGTGAGAACAGCCGAGAGAACAGCACTTCTAGTTTGACTGTATCAGTGTTAGTTTAGTTTAGGTTTTCTCCTGTAGTAATTAACACTGGATCAATAAGATATATGACCATTACTGGACCTCTAGCGAAAACAATTTAGAACTGATAGAGCTATCAAATATAAATAAAGTTAGTTTAGTTTAGGTTCCTCCTGTAGTAACACTGGATCAATAAGGGATGTCCCTTACTGGACCTCTAGGGAGAAAAGTTTAAAATTAATAGAGCTATTCAACATAAATAAATCTTCCAAATAGCTTGTTGAAAGACTTTGGAAACACAACTTACAGTGGAATATGATCCTTCACCAAGTATTTTACCAAACACAAAATCCTGTGGTTGTTTCTTTTTCTTTGCGGATTGAGTTGGTTGTGGAGCTGGCTTCGTCTCGACTGTTGCAGCTTCTTGCTAAAAATAATACATTAACGCATTAGCTTGCATTGCACCCCAATATGCTCTACATCGTTATTTTACTCTGGCTAACGTCAGACGAGAGTTGATGAGAATTGTTTGGATATGGCCAGTCAAACGAGTAAAAACTTTTGTCAACTTGCATCATAATTTGAACCAGTTCAAAGTGGATGAGAGTCACTGAGGGTTGGCGGTCAAATGCAAGAGAGTTGGAAGTGAAGTCTATTTGTCAATAACCCACTATATACAAGTAGAACAGTTCATTATATTATTCTAAATGAATTTAGAACAGCATACTTGTCACAAGCACACAAAAGCTTTAAAAATGCCACAAGGCTAGTTTCCTTTCTATTTTTGCGCAATACATACACTACGAAATACAACACGAGCGTAATTGAAACTCGTACATTACTATATACCATAACTGAAACCACGTTGTCAAACGTTTCAAGAAAAGTGTCAAAACTAAAATGCTTTATTCATAAATTATGCCAACACCTTCACATGACAATTTCACGCAGTGCATAGGCTTAATTCAGACTCGTTTTTGTACTGAAAATTACAGCTAAGTAAAATACAAACCTTATCCTCCATTACGAAGTATGCTTCAAGTTTTATCCATGATTAAAGCAAAATAAGAAGGCAAAATGCCAAACTGGTTGATAATTTTTTTATTATCTTTATAATTCGGCAACCATTAGTGTGAGCCCGCATGTACTTCCGCTGACAAAGGTCAATTCGGATTAAGATCAGTGATTTTAAAAGATTGAAGATTAAGATGGATTAACGATTAAGGATTAGAATTAAGATTAAGGTTGATTGAAGATTAAGATGGATTAAGGATTAGAATTAAGGTGGATTAAGGTTGTTAATCGAGTTAAAGGTGAAAAGGTGACGCCTGTTCGCAGGTTAGGTTAAAGGAAATTATGAAAATATTTGGGAAGTGTAGTTTTGAAAGTGGAAACACAAACAGTGTATTTTAATCTCGCGCCAAATTTTGAAAAATTCATTCGTCTCTTCGATCAGCAACGCCACGTCTTTTGTGCAAGAAAACTCCTATTTTTATCACTTATTTTTCCATTAAAATGGCTTGTGTAACTGTACCTGGTCTCCTACATCATGTATCGCAATGTAAAGGACAGATACAGGTTTGCTGATGCAATATTTATACAGAAGTGGTCAAAATATAATCGTGAAATTCCGCGCCATTTTATTGTATACTTGTACATTTCATTCATTCATGTTTATCAATTTTCTGTTCATATGTTTTTCTAGGTTATATTTGGTCCTATGTTTTCAGGCAAAACGTAAGTATTGTACAATTTCAAAGTTCACAAACAGTCGTAATATAGATTTGTTTTAATATATGCAACATGCCAATATCAAGCCCTCGATCAAGCTGATCGAATCCGTCATATGAATGTATTTGTTATTGTGTTATCAATTTAAGTCAAAGCCAAGGAAACAGATCAATTTAAGTGGCAAATATAAAAGGTCTAAGCAAAAGTCCCAAATATAAGAAAAACAAGATTAAAAAAACACATCAAATATTTATTTAATGAAGCACTGTATAAAATATACTGACATAGGTCCAGTGCCCACTGATCTCAACAAATCTTTTCCCACATATTATAGTACTGAGCTGGTTAGGCGAGTGAAAAGATATCAAATTGCAAATCATTCCTGTTTGTTAATAAAATACGACAAAGACGTTCGTTACGATGAAGACAGAGTGTCGACGCATGATCAGTAAGTTCGTTATGGTGAATTAACGAGGTATTGGTCACACAGTGTTCAGCGGGTGTATCTTTCATCTCTGTGATGGTGAACAAGGTCCTAAATTATGCAGTTGTCAGAGTAGAATTGTTCCTCAGTCACACATAAGAAGAGTGCTTCTGTTTTCACTCAAAACCTGCAGTAATTTCATTACAGCCCTCGAAAACCGTCAAAATCGAGGTTGGCAAAAAAATGCTGACCTAAATCTGACCTAGGTTGGCACATCTCGGCATTTTTTTAAAATCTGTTTCCATGTCTTGGAGCACTAGTAATCACGTATTTGCGAATCATTGAAATCGGAATATAAAGCATGCCTTTTTCCATGGAAACGCAAACTACAGTAACACGACAGCTTTTCTTTTGGAGTCTTACCTAAATTATATATATATATATATAGAATACCTGTCAATTTTTAAACTTTGACTTTTCAACAGCAATCAGCACAAAAAATTCTTACTTTGGCTGAATTAAGCAAAAACGTGCCGACCTGGGAGGTTGATAGGTCAGCATTTAGGTTGGCATTGCCGAATGCCGACCTTGTTTTACTGGGCTGCATTACTGATAATGAACAACCCTTTTGTCTAGGGAGAACAGTTTAATTCATAGGGAGAACAGTCTAAATCTGATAGAGATAATAAATAATTATTTATTATATCACTCCATTTCCAGGCAAAGAATGGCAGCTGTGCCATGTCATAAACTGTCAAATATCAAAAAGCAAGCTATGAATTATAATATAATTGGAATTGATGAAGGACAATTTGTAAGTTTTGTGCTGGGTTTAATAAATACGAGTATTACATATACGTGTAAGTATGAAAATGTATTACTGTTTTGCCATAGTTTTCAGATATTGTTGAATTCTGTGAAGAACTGGCAAACAAAGGAAAAACTGTAATTGTTGCCGCACTTGATGGTACATTTCAACGACAGGTGGGTCATAACCTTTGTGTATGTCTCTGTGACCAGGGTTTGTTGCATCCAGGGATAAAAGTGCGTCCAGTTGATCCAGGTGCGTCCAAAGATCACAGGTTTTCTCCGAGTACTCCAGTTTCCTCCTGTAGTAAGACTGGATCAATAAGAGATGATCCTTACTGGACCTCTGCAGAGAACAGTTTAGACCTGATAGAGCTATCCAGTATAAATAAAGTTAGTTTAGTTTAGGTTTCCTCCTGTAGTAACACTGGATCAATAAGAGATGATCCTTACTGGACCTCTAGGAAGAACAGTTTAGAACTGGTAGAGCTATCCAGTATAAATAAAGTTAGTTTAGTTTAGGTTTCTTCCTGTAGTAACACTGGATCAACAAGAGATGATCCTTACTGGACCTCTGCGGAGAACAGTTTGGACCTGATAGAGTTATCCAGTTTAAATAAAATTGAATAGAAAATATTAACTGGATTGTTATTCAATATTTTCTTTAGGCATTTGGCCATGTGCTGTCACTTATTCCTCTGGCAGAAAATGTTGTCAAACTTAACGCTGTGTGTATGAACTGCTTCAAAGATGCGGCATTTACAATGAGACTGGGAAGTGAAACTAAGGTAGCGAATCATTCTTTCTAAACCACCCTTTTGAAATAAAATCACTATAGTTTAGGTGATGCAGTTGACATAAATATCCTGAAAAATATCACAATAACTTTGGTACAATGTTTTAGTTAGTATAAAAGATTAATTATGATTAGGATTTAGTTAGTATAAGATTAGGATATAAAGAGTTTGGCTAGAAATCACCAAAATCTTTCAGAATATACCACTGGTCAAACTTGATTTATTTTCTTCTGTTTTACCAGGTTGAAATTATTGGAGGTGCAGAGCGTTACTGGTCTGTGTGCAGAGAATGTTTTAATTTACCAAACAATGATGAGATAGTGAAACGAATTCACGATGCTCCAGTTTTAACTGCTAATGGTGTTCTGAGCTCATACAGATAACACACCAGCACTATGGTGTATTTTAACTCTGTAACATAGTTCTTGTAACATAGTTCTTGTGCCTGTGTAAAGCTGTGTTAAAGCTGCTTGTGTTAAAAGCTGCTTTGTCAGTGTGGGCCAAAAAAAGCGAGTCGCATTGGTAGAGAATCATTAGTATGACCAAGTTCTTACTCTGCCTGAACAGCCTTTAACCAGTTGATTAGTTTCTCACCTTATGAGTTTGAATATGTAATTAAAAATTTTAATATTTATCCTAGGGAAGCTTGTAATTATTTTATATTAAATTGTAATAAAACTATTTTCTGATAGAATGATTTATTTAAATTCACAACTGGGAAAAGCACCTTGACCTGACTTTGTTTTTTAATTGCTGCGTTGTTTTTAGGGCAATTTTGAGGGTTGTTCCTACAACGCACTAAGCATGGTTCTCATGACCTATATACTGTGATCACAGTAGGAATTTTGCATGGGTAAATTTTAAATTGTGATGTATTTTTCGCAGAAAGAAAATTTTGTAAAATGTGACTGGCCAGGCACAAATTTTCCGTCGGAAAAATTTTTGAAAATTTTCAACTTTAACCATGATATTTTCGGAAAATTTTCTGTCCGTGGCAATGGGCCTTAAACATTAAGTCAGTTCCCTATTTCTTACAAATCTTTCAAAACTTGAACTAGTATGTAAAATTCCTACTGTGATCACAGAGAAACTTGGATAGAGTGAAATGCCAACAAAATCTGACTACTCTCTTGTCGCCAAGGTTTTCGTTACAAGCATAGCCGGGCGCGCACAGATGACTCGATGTTTACCTCATCCGCACAAAATTCCCGTTACGACGTGAGTTTATTCATGAAACTATTCAAATCATACTCCTGTTCGTACTGGTCTTCTTCCCACAAGTCGCCCAAGTTCTCTAAAACGTCTGACATCGATGCTTTATTTGCCGCAGGTTTCTTAGCTGTCGTCTTGTCTTTTTTATTCTCGACTGTGAATAAGTCTAGCACCTGTGACGTGTCCATCGAGGCGAAGCTCGAGTTCTCTTGTGTGATCACTGTATTGGCGATATTTAGTTTGAATTTCTGTAGCCTAGAAGAAGAAACGTTTTTAATCACGTGTTAATAACTACAGTATTATCCCTGTCTATACTGGATAAACAGTCTTTCTTCTGAACTGTTCTTCCTGGAGGTTCAGTAAGGATCATCTCTTATTGTTCCAGTGTTACTACAGGAGGAAACTTAAACTAAACTAACTTTATAATTTATACTGGATAGCTCTATCAGTTCTGAACTGTTCTCCTTAGAGGTCCAGTAAGGATCATCTCTTATTGATCCAGTGTTACTACAGGAGGAAACCTAAACTGAACTAACTTTATTTATACTGGATAGCTCTATCAGTTCTGAACTGTTCTCTCTAGAGGTCCAGTAAGGATCATCTCTTATTGATCCAGTGTTACTACAGGAGGAAACCTAAAGTAAACTAACTTTATTTATACTGGATAGCTCTATCAGTTCCAAACTATTCTTCCTAGAGGTCCAGTAAGGATCATCTCTTATTGATCCAGTGTTACTACAGGAGGAAACCTAAACTAACTTTATTTAGAGATAATTACCCCATAATCTTTTCTTCCAGCGTTCCTCTTGTTATTAGTCTGTAAACATTGACGACTTTCTTCTGGCCGATACGATGCGCCCTGTCCATGGCCTGCGCGTCCTTCATTGGGTTCCAGTCATGTTCCAGAAAGATGACTGTATCAGCTCCTGTCAGGTTCAAACCCAAACCTCCAACGTGCGTTGTCAACAGTAAGACATCAATTGATGGATCGTCGTTAAATCTACAACATGAACGGCATCAGGCATTCTCTTACAAAATTCAGGGTAGTCTTCAAATTTTAAGAGCTTCTGTTATCAAGCATTGTCTTACTAAGATTCATACAGGTTACTCAGGGTAACCCTTCATATTTTGATATTTTGACATGCCTGTATTAAAAGAGGAGTTTCGTCTTGGCAAAGGCAAAAAGTTTGGATGGAGCGCTGTTTTTCTTTTCAATTATTTTTATTCAAATTGTTTTGCTGTCGAGATATAAATTTTCAGTTTGGTGAAGACACATTTCATCTTGGTTGATCACACCTAAGGGGTTTTTCTACCGCATGGAATCTGAATTTTTTTCATTAAGCTTCGAGTATTACGGTATATATACCTTTGAACAAGAGAATGTCTCTGACCAGCGGGTGTGCTGCCGTCCAAACGAAGGTAGGTCACAGTTGGCATGTGACTTCTAAATAATAAAATAAAATGGTGCTCGCTGAAGGTCCAGTAAAGATCCAACCTATTTCAGAGGGTTTCACCTCCGCCACGCCCTCCAAGTAAGGGCCCTCCTGTATTGGTCCGGAATAACTGGAGAAACTGATGTTTGGTCACATGCAATCAAAGTGAAATTATAATCAGACAAGTACATATTACAGAAATCAAAACCCAGTCATAGAGGTGAAAGATACACTACTCTAATAAATGTATATAAATTTCAATTCGATAATTTCCATCTACAAGACACTTCAACTATTACTGAATTGGAGGAGATGCCAACAAAATCTTGATATTCACACATAACCTATACATGGCAGTACCCTAGTATATATACATAAACTTGTGGTTAGAGCTCGACAACTGGACTCTGTAGCTCAGCTGGTTAGAGCGCTGCACCGAAATCACAGGGGCTCAGGTTCAATTCCTGCCAGGGACCTAAATTTGCATTTTTTCGCTTCTGTTCCTGGTTAAGTCTAACAAATGTATATAAATTTCCACTCGACAATTTCCATCTACAATACCCATCAAACACTACTCCAACACCCTTAAGAGCCTTTGCGAATAATATTTCGATCAAATGCGAAGATCATAAGATCTATGTCCATACTTGAATAAATCTTGTTCAACAATATCCAACATGCTCTTGAACTGACAGAACAGCAGCACGCGATGTTGAGAGACTATTGGATCTGTCACGCCATCTGACGTATGCACTGTTCCGATACCACAGTCTTGAAGCAGTTGTCTGACAAGAAACAATAAACAAAATACTAAACTTAATTTATTTAAACTGGACAGTTCTATCAGTTCTAAACTGTTTTTCCTAGAGGTCCAGTAAAGATCATCTCTATCGATCCAGTGTTACTACAGGAGGAAACCTAAACTAAACAAACTTTATTTATAGTGGATAGTTCTATCAGTTCTAAGCTGTTCTCCCTAGAGGTCCAGTAAGGATCATCTCTTATTCATCTAGTGTTACTACAGGAGGAAACCTAAACTAAACAAACTTTATTTATACTGGATAGCTCTATCAGTTCTAAACTGTTCTCCCTAGAGGTCCAGTAAGGATCATCTCTTATTCATCTAGTGTTACTACAGGAGGAAACCTAAACTAAACAAACTTTATTTATACTGGATAGTTCTATCAGTTCTAAACTGTTCTCCCTAGAGATGGTATGTGAGAGAAACATGTCGAAACAACAACTCACCTCAAAGCAACCAGCTTACTAGCGTTGTTGATATCATGAAGAGTTGTGGATTGGTGTTTTAACTGCGCGGTAATACGTTGATGTTCAGGATGTGATGGAGTAAGTACTAACGCTGGATGATTACATACTTTTCTTAAGTATTGAAGAGCCTACAGAGATAAAGAAAATATGTAATGCTGTAGGGTATTACTTATTTATTGAATACCATTTACAAGATTAGTTCCCCACAGGTCTGAAATTTAATTTTTTTCTCAATATCCAACTGGGATACCAGAAGTCAAGGTTTAGTATCCCCCCTGAGAATCCAATATCCCACTTCTGTATACTGGTTACCATAAGTATTATACCCTGGGTGACAAACTCATAGTACCCATCATGCAACAATACACTGCCCACTGTCAAGCTGCTTGTAGTAGCAGGATTAACTCAGCTGTAAGGTACAGGGCACTGACCTCATCTACAACCCGGAGTTATAATGTTCATGAAGGCGTGTTTTCAAACCTGGAAGACGTGCGGTGGTCCCTTTTTCTTTCTCTCTCCATCGTTTGTCAAACTGTTTTCCATGTCCTGCTTTGCTTTAGTTTTGGCAAAATCTTCGTAAAGTTGAAGCTAAAACAATGAAGAAATTAGTACACAAGTATAAAAATCCCTAGAGGTCAAGTAAGTATCATCCCTTATAAAATCCCCAGAGGTCAAGAAAGTGTCATCCCTATCCCAAAAGGTCAAGTAAGTGTCATCCCTTACAAAATCCCTAGAGGTCAAGTAAGTGTCATCCCTGTCCCCAAAGGTCAAGTAAGTGTCATCCCTTATAAAATCCCTAGAGGTGAAGTAAGTGTCATCCCTTATTAATCCACTACAGGAGGAAACCGGAATGAGGGCTCTAGAATATAATTGTCTTCCTGGGATCACAACCTGGATATAAAACTTTCCTGCAGTCCAACAAGGAGATATTTCCATGGAGATATTTCCATACCTGCAATGGTGATAATTCACAGTAATAATCCTGGATAATTTTCGGCGGTAAATCTTGCAAGACATCTTCCTTCATTCTTCTTAACAAGAAAGGCAACACTTGACGATGGAGAGCTTCCATTGCTAACGCACCTTTAATGAGAAAGAAAACATTCTGATCTTCAAACGTGGTGGTCCGGTGTTGAGAATGAGCGTCGGAAATGACGTGTGGGTTCGCAGACTAGGTGGTCCGGTGTTGGTTGAATAATAAACTGCCGTGCTTTGTATATGAACTACCTGAAAAAATGTGGGTCGTCAGAAGTCAAACTAAACCCTCCTAATTAGTAAATAATTAGACTAATTAGAACTACTAATTAACGCATCATCAGAAGTCAAACTCCTCCTAATTAGTGAATAATTAGACCAATTAGAAGTACTAATTAACCAGTCAGAAGTTATTAAACTCCTCCTAATTAGTGAATAACTGGACTAATTGGAACTACTAATTAACGCATCATCAGAAATCAAACTCTTCCTAATTAGTGAATAATTAGACTAATTAGAAGTACTAATTAACCTGTCAGAAGTCAAACTCCTCCTAATTAGTGAATAATTAGACTAATTAGAAGTCCTAATTAACCCATTCCACTCACCTTCCTCTTGTTCTTTCGATGAAGATTTCGCATCTCGACTCATCAAGATAGGTTTTCCATATTGAGTTTGAAATTTCTTCTCACTGCCCAGAAAGCCAGGCATGAGGAAGTCAAATAATGACCACAGTTCTAACACGTTGTTCTAGAAAAAGATACATTTTGAAATCCACTGTATTGGTTGGTTTCAGTCAGTGTTACAGGACAGCAGATGATGGTCAACTTCACAAATGTTGACATTTATGGGAACAAGAAATTAAACTACATCTTTCAATTCTTCCAAATACAAGGCTGCCACATATAATGAAAAGAATGAACATTATTCTCTAACTCTGATAAGTGCAGGTTGACCACCATCTGCTGCACGAGAGTGCTTTGTGAAACCTACTAGAAAGTAGTCTTACTTGGATAGGTGTTCCAGATAGAATCAAACGATGACTAGCTCTTAATTCCTTGATCACTTTAGACATCTAAAACACACAGAACATATATATTATGGTGTCCGTATTGGAGTCGTCCGACTTAACACCAAAACCCTTCCCAACACAATCAACTACAATAATTCACTCTACCTTCGTCTTAGCATTCTTTATAATATGTCCTTCATCTAAAACACAGTAGTTCCATGACACAGACCTAGACAGAAATTTAGAAGTTTTTTTACTTGCCAATTCTATCAGCTGTAAACTTCCTAGAGGTCCTGTAATATACTTACTTGAAGAAATCGCTGTCGTTTCTGACAATGTCATACGATGCAATAACAAGATTGTGTTTCTTAACTTTCTGTCTTAACCTATAATTGGATTTTTGCAGATGAGAATCGCTAATTGACACCGTGCAAGGTTTAAAAATGAAACGCTGTTCCTGTTTTTTGGCGTATATAATTTCACCTGTGATTAGCCAGTGTATCAGACGATTTTAAGGGAGAGTTGAGGAACAGGCTTAAAATCCGACAGGTAGACGAGCTGTGATTGGGGTGAGGGGGGGGGGGGAGCACAACAAAGTAAATAAATGGTTGGCATTATTCAAGCGCCTGGGTACAGGTTTATTGTGCATGATGTTCTTCACACCACATGTTTTAATGAATCTGTAGTCCATTCAATATTTCGAGCACTCGATTTCAACATCGTCTCTTACCGTATTCTTTCACCCGGAGGTCCAGTGTAATGCAGGGGATTAAGATGTTCTTTAGCGACAAATTTCTCCACTTCATAACACCAATGTCCTGTCAATGTTGGTGGGCAGATCACTAGAGATGGCAGAAGTTGCACATTGCTTTCTTCCTGCTGGAAGAAAAATAAACCACACATTCTTCCCTGATGGTACTCTGAGTGTCTCCACACCGGGCAAGCTGGAAAATTGCTTGACAGTGGTGGGAAAAGAAACCGCGATCTTTGGTTTGCTAGTCTACTCAGAGTAACATCAGCAATAAAATTCAACACCTAACTTCAACACAAGCAAACGTTAAATCACATATTCTTTTATCTTAAGCTTCGTTCTTTAAAACTCTTGCAGAAGAAAAATCCCAACCTAATCATATCCTTACCACAACCCTAATCTTAATCCTAATCCTAATCTTAATCCTAATCTTAATCCTAATCTTAATCCTAATCTTAATCCTAATCTTAATCCTAACTCTAACTTATTATTCCCCATACCTTCGAGGCAGCTACTTTCTCTTGATGATCACCAGCTACGATACAAATAGTCTGCAGAGTCTTACCCAGTCCCATATCTGACGAGGAGTTAAGATTCATTCAAGTATTACCACTCAATTTACCGAGTATTACCGATCATTCTAAAAATTCCTTTCAAACAAACAAACAAACAAACAAACAAACAAACAAACAAACAAACAAACAAACAAACAAACAAACAAACAAACAAACAAACAAACAAACAAACAAACAAACAAGCAAGCAAGCAAGCAAGCAAACAAACAAACAAACAAGGTAAAGGATATCATCACACAGTATCCCATGCAGTTTATACTTTCTTAAAAACGCCAACCAGTTCACTCCATCCTGGTGAAAAAATTCAACAAATATAAAAATTGTGGTAAGTTAAAAACTGAATGCTTAAAATACTGACTTGCGTGTCCTCTCTATTCTTCTTGCATTCGTTTTGCATCGCGGGCTCTTCTGTTCTTGAATCAAATAATTTATTTTACCTGCTGGTATTTTCTCAGTTCAGCCTTGATAGGAATAGGGACCACAAAGTTGTCTAGTTTTGTTTCACCAAATAACTGTTTGAGAAAATGCCTTTCTTCATCTCGCTTTTCACTGAGAACTGCAGACAACTGGACAGGTCTCGCTGACGACTACAGAATGAAACACAGTTACCTTGGACTGGTATTTCCAAAGTTTCTGTGATCACAATATGAATTTTGCACAGGTAAGTTTTGAAGGATTTGTAAGAAATATTTGAGGGAACTGACTCGTTGTTTAACACTTCTTACAAATCCTTCAAAACGTGAATTTACCCATGCAAAATCCATAGATTGAAGCCGTGATTGCAGACTCGGGATATTCCCATGAAATGAGAAGACTCGTATGTTTTCTATTTCTTAAACATTAAGTTAAACCTATTCCAAATACATATTCAAACTATTCAAATGATGAAAGTTATTGTTGTTTTTTAAGTGTTTATTAGCGAGTGGGAAACTCCAATATGGCCGCCATCTATTCAAATGGGGGTAACCGCTGGAATATTCTTGGCTTCAATTTTACTAAAAGAGATGCGCTATCTAGTGTATATAAGATATCTATGGTAAAATCCTACTGTGATCACAGAAACTTTGATAGTGTAAACATTACATTACATCAGTTATTATTCAGCTCACTACCAGCCTTAAAAGCGTCTACATGGCATTTTTCCACTTATCGCAAGTTCACTGCGAGTGCTTGCATCTAATTAAAATACAATGTTGAGCATTGTGATTGGATGAGAGAACTCGCAGGTGAGCTTACGGGTTGGTTTTGGCGATGGATGGGAAAGAGGCTTTACAGGGCAAAAACAGGTAACTCGACTATCACTATATGGCAGTATCCTAGTAAATAAAAATGCTATATAATAGGACATAAATATATAAAGATGTCCCACCTCCAAAGGCATTAAACTGATCAACGTAGCGAAACATTGAGCAGCCATGAGCCTCACTTGCTCAGAGTGATCACTCATTGCCCCGAGTGTCGGGATGATCAATAAAATAACGTAAGGAATAACATCCACCTGGAGACGATTTGTAATATCTGGTCATGATTGTTAAGAAAATGCGTCATGAGTTAAATACTGTACACCATGCATTGAGGTAGAAAATGCTGATCATCATCCCTTGCGGTTGAAAGTTGAATTGCAAGGGATGTGACCGAGTCGAAGGCTCACTATGGTACCAATGGCTGCCACCAGACAACCACAGAATATAGACTTACAGATGTATATACAGCCACAGAATATAGACTTACAGATGTCTGACTCCGTGTCGGCGTCTTTCATGTTAGCGTAACTGAGCGCCATGTCAGCGGGGTGAGTACCTCTCGTTAAAGCACTGGCTAGGAACAAGGCTACTGTATATAACGACTATATAGCGGCTGGACTCGGACCTCTGTATGGTACATACTCAGTGGTATAGTTTATGGTGAGGTAGGAAAACCGGAAGACTAAGAAGAGAAGTCTTTGAACAACAGGAAAGAAGAAATCACAACAGTAGTGAAGAAGATCAAGTTAAAGCAGGATATTAGACCTTCAGCTGGCAACTGCATCTGCTTCTATTAGCCAAATATTTCCCAATCGAGCAGAGGACTGGGTCTAGTTGATGTTTGGAGGGACGTTTGGAGGGACAACAAGTTATAGTGAGCGAGCTAAATATGTATTAAAAGATGCCTTATTATAATTGTTGCGTTTCAGGCTGCACAAATAACTTTAGGAATGTAGAAAAACTTCCTAGACAGTGGCGGAAATCTCGGGGGGGGGGGGGGACCCCCCCCCCCCACCTTCACGGAAAATTTACGAATTTTCGGAAATTTTGATCTAAAGAAGGCTAAAAACCGCCTTTTCGAGTGAAAATAGGGAATTTGAAAGTTTTGAAAGTTTTGTCGGAAATTTAGGATGCTTTGCCCCCCCGGAAAAGTGAATTTCCGCCACTGTTCCTAGATGCCATATTCAACATATTGTTTATTTTTTGTCCCTCCAAACAAGCGACTAGATCCAGTCCTCTGCTCGATTGGGAAATGGCTAATTCTGCGTTGTATAACAAGCAGTGCGAAACAAAGCGTTCAAGGATACAATATATAGCTTCAATGGCTCCTTCTCTAGCTCCAATATTATCAACATTATTAAGAAGCGGGACCACTTGATCCAAAACCATCTCCATTACTCGCGAAGTGAATAAAGTACCTAGAGTACCCACGACCCTGGAAGTCATGTGACGGACACTGTTGTAGGGATGTTCCAAACTTCGCAGAGAAGACGAAATCAGTGCCAGTACCTACATAAAAATAGAGGAACGTTTCTGTGAGTGATACAAGGCCGTGATACAAGGTCAACAGCAGAATTGTTGACGGCAACGCGACGACGACAGCCAAAACAAAGTTCTTCAACTAAATTATTGCGAGGAAGAGTTGTTGTGTATTATCCACTGCATGTATATACGAATTGAGTTCAGTTTGAAGAGATTAAAACAAAGGCTTTAATATGGTTAAAAACGCTTCTGCTGAGCAAATTTGTAGTTACACTTGTCGCGTCTTGACATGTTTGCGTTGTACACGAGACGTGAAAATTCTGGTTTGCCGTTGTAAAAAGCCCTAACACAACGTCTCTAACTCCCGTGGGGCTTTTAATTATTCATTTCTTTTGTACGAGATCAGGAATATCATTGTGTGAATAGCCGTCGTCGTCACGTTGCCGTCCTGTTTGCTTAAGGTCCCTATTGGTACAAGCGAAAAACTTTATTCCTCTTTTTAACGTTTGTTCGTTCATTGCAACCATGTATATCAATCATGTTTTCGCTCGCTACTCTGGTTTAAATAAATGATTATAAAGCCCAGTCGAATTGTAATCAAGGCCCAACGTTTCGACACTCCAGTCTATCGTGACTTCTAAATACACAAGGGATGACGTCACCTGCCAATGAGATGCATGTATTCTTCTGGCAAATAGGCATTGTTTGTGGTAATTACTTTAGAGTTTTCCACGCAATCTTGTGTATAGCATGGTATAGAATATACAGCATTAGATTTCTGATTTGTTTTAGCTTGCGAAAATATGGCCTAAAGTCAAATAGGGTTTTAAGGCAACCTTAATATTACAGTTACTTAAGATTCTCTTTATCTTTGTTATTTACATTACTATCGGATACAAGACTACTGTATATAATGAAAGAATTAGCATTATTTTCATAACTGCCAGTTGACTACCATCTGCTGTTCGACATGGCTTACTGAAACCAACTCGTTTAGATAAACAGGTAACTCACTTTTTCTTGCAATACTTTATTCAATGTTGGTGCCAGAAGTTCAAGCAGCTGTAAACTGTTGACAATCTCTTGAGCTGACGAGTCGTTGTCTTGGAGTACTTGAAGATCTATAGGAGGAATAATTATAACTTACTTTATTTATACTAGATAGCTTTAACAGTTCTAAACTGTTCTCCCTAGAGATCCAATATGCGTCATATTTCTTATTAATCCAGTGTTACTGCAAGAAGAAAGCTATCCACTCACCAGGTACATTATGAAGGTTTCTCTCTAGGGTACCAATCATGATATTCCAAAGTTCCGGGATTTTCTCAGGCAGTTTTTCCTTGAAATGTTTTGCGATGTTACGTAATGTGAGCTCAGCTCCATTTCTCTGAAGCTTCACATTCTTTTGATTCTGAAAAATGAAATAATCTTGACATGAGAAGAAAGAAAGAAAGGAGGGAGGTAGGAAAAGAAGTAGGGAGGGAGAATGGAGAGGAATGAGGAGGAAGGAATGAGGAAAAGAAAGGAACGAACGAGGAGACGAAAAGGAATGAGGAGAAGAAAAGAACGAATGAGGAGACGAAAGGAAGGAATGAGGAGAAGAAAGGAACGAATGAGGAGACGAAAAGAAGGAAGAAAAATAATGAGGAGAAAAGGAAGAGATGAAGTAAGGTAGGAAGGACGGACAGCAGGAAAGAAGAAAATACAGATGGAAGCCAGAATAAAGAAGTAAAAAGTTAACGAAATAAAGTACCTCGTCGTCTTTCTGTGTGTCTTTAATAACAGAAGATGGTACATCGACAACAGCAGCAAGTTTAGAACCTTCTTTCTTTGTACTTGAATTAACTGATTTATTCTAGAACAAAAATAAAACCTACATTATAACTGTACAAATATTTTACACTGTATTGGCAGATTTCAGTAAAGTGTAAACGAAGCTTTAGAAAGCTGTCCGAGTTCATAAAACACAACTCACTTCATTTTGTTTTGCCAGGGTTATAATTCCAGAATATCGACCATCCACCACACTCCCGTTGGTCACCTGGGACGAAGTGGCTGCAGAGGGTGTCTTGGGATTCACCGCTACAATTGGGGTCTCGTTGGGATCATTACACGCGAACGAACAGAGATTTTTGACAATCTTCGAGTTAGGGCAGGGAGTTCGTTGCAGACAGAATTCCAGTAACTGGGTTAAGTTGTAAGCTGCATGTTGCTAAAAAATGAACAGAATAAAGAGTGGTAAAGTCTCATCTAGGGAGAACAGTTTAGAACCCATGGATCTACCCAGTATACAAAAGCTTATTTTAGTTCAACCTACTTGCATGGCCGGGTCCTCTTCTTTCTTAATGGCGTCCATTAAAGGTCGAATGACTGGATTGAGTTTGGGTGGTAGTGTTCGCATGGTAACCAAGGCACCAGCGATGAGTGATAACACTCTGAACAATGAGATGAGATGATATGTATTTTTTGTCAGGTAGTTCAGATACATAAAAAGTTACTTGAAATACCGTAAACCTCCGACTATAAGCCCAGGGCTTATATTCTTTCGTAAGCGATTTTTGATGGGCTTATACAAGGGCGGGCTTATATACGGGGGGGGGGGGCTCTTATACATGGACGATCTTTTGTGTTAGTGTATTAGTGATAAACAAGTATAGTAATAGTTATAAACAAGTGTTAAGCATAGTAATAATAGTGATTAATAGTGGTAATAGTGATAAACAATAGTGATAAACAAGTGGGCTTATATTCGGGTGGGCTTATATTTTTTTTTTGGGGGGGGGGCTTATATTTGGAATGAGTGAGCGTTAGTACATGTGATGGGCTTATACACGGGGGGCTTATATTCGGGGGGGGTTGGCTTATATTCGGAGGTTGACGGTATTTGAACAAGCTTTCGTTGGTAGGGATGCAACTACCTGAAAATATATAAGGAGAATTTCAGCGTTTCGAGCGAAGGCGCTCCGTTACTAGTCGAGTCGTTATATATTTTCAGATGGTTGTATCCCTACCAAGGAAAGCTTGTTCATTTGATTGGCACTACCTACACTGGCAAAGACAGTATTTGAATTACTTCATACCTTACGCTATGTTTTTCAAACTCGTACTGGAGTTGACCAATTGTTGCTACAAGGTGTCTACGTTTGCTTTCCAGAACCTAGAAATGAGTGAATATTGGATTAGAGGCTAAAGTCTGTTGAATAGTGAATTAGAGGCCAACATTTTACACTACAACTGTGTGGTATCGTTGAAAACCAGCTTAGAACATACCCCAACATCCTTGGCAGAAAGATTCTTGACAGCCTCTTCAAACACAGTCGAGACCAGCGATGTGGCACCCTCAATTGTATGGTAACTACAAACAGTTGATATTTGTTATTAGAATGCCTGCGGGTAATGGCCGATTAATAGTCCAGGTACATTAATATAGGTCAGTGTTCTCACCCGGATTGATTGACTGATGAAGTGTCTATTCCTTTCTCTTGAAAAGCAATCTGAAGACTCTAGTAGAGAAATGAAATACAAATATAAGTCAAACAATACCTTTCATGGGCATTGCAATGATGTAGTTAGGTAGTGAGACAATAGTTTTCATGGGCATTGCAATGGTACGGGTAGTTCGGTAGTCAGAAGACAATAACTTTCATGGGCATTACAACCAGGTGATCTCGTGTTCGTATTTTAGCCAATCAGCGCTCAGAAAGGGTTGTCCGAATAGAAATCCATTTTGATGTATTCAGTCAATTATATCTTTCGTTATTCTTTAGGAAACTAGTTGAAATTTTGTAATTATGTTTGGTTATGAGAACTATAGCTCTGACAAAAATATGGAATCGAAATAAAGTATATTACAGGAGATATTCAGTTGTTTTAATCACAAAATGGATTTCTATTTGACAACTAGTGCCAGTACTTTTCCGCGTATCAAGATCATCTGGAATGGTGTAATTTAATAGGTAGTGAGACAATAGCTTTCATGGGCATTGCAATGGTGTCGGGTAGTTTGGTAGTCAGAAGACAATAACTTTCATGGGCATTGAATGGTGTAGGTAGGTAGTCAGACAATAGCTTTCATGGGCATTGCAATGATGTAGGTAGGGTTCACTAAACATTACCCACAGATAGTACTGGTGACCAGCAAGGTAAAATTTACATGACAGAACAAACCTGACAATCTGTCTGTAATCTCGTGAACAGAACTCCAACTTCGTCATAAACAACATGTGCAGTGAGAACTTCAATAAGTTTCGAACCAAGTGATGACAAATTTAGACAACTCTAACATAAATAATCATTAAAGATATAAATATGTCAGAGTATGATGACGTCATAAACAGGATGATGTCATAAAAACGTCATAAAGAAGATGACGCCATTATGGCATCATGGTGAATATGATCTCATTATAAGAATGACGTCACTGTAATGATGACCTACTAAGATGATGACGTCATAATGAAGATGACGTCATGGGAGGAGGGCGTTATAATATTCTTGAGATGCCCATAGGGATAACATCACCATATTGATGAAGTCAGTATCATGATGGCCTCGAGATGAAAGAGACATCAAAAGATGACTTGGTTTTAGTTGCGTTTAACAATTAGGAAATGTTGATGAAAGGCAGGAAGGGAAATTTCACCTTATCAAGCGAAGCCCACTCTGTTACAGTCATAGCAGCCACCATATATTGAGATCCCGAGGTGGACATCAGAGCTCCATGTAAACATTGAACAAACAGATCTAACGCAGCTAAACATACATCATCACCAATTGAACTCAAATAAAAACCAAGAAAACCCAACGCTCTGAAATCAGAAATAACGTTACATGTTATTATATGCAGCTTCACATATGAATACTGTGGCGGCAAACTGGCAGGGAAAACAATTCTTATTCTAGGATGCCAAGTATCTATATTTTTAAAGTAGTTGCAAAATCAGTGGACCATTTTAAAAAATTAGTGAAGACACATCTTTTTAGGATAGCTTTTTATTAATACGTATATTTATTATATAAACGTAAGTGTTATATAGAGTTTTTGGCCACTGAGAAAAATCGTATTTAAACACACGTAAAAAATACGATATTTTTACGTGTGAAAATATCATTTGTTGTAAAACGCATGTTGTTGTAAATTTGTTGTAAATTTTGTTTATATAATAAACAGAAAAATACATGGGAGCTTGGACATGATATCTCGTGTTGAACATGATATCTCACTCGTTCGCTGCGCTCACTCGTGATATATCATGTTCAACACTCGAAATAAATCTGGTATTTCCAAGCTCCCATGTATTATTCTCAATGTATATGTTTGTATGTATATTTGTATTTTTCAGGTATTCATATATGCGCACTTATATAGATACTTTTAACGATATATCTTAAGCATATTTTAGACAATCTACTTTTCATGTAATTATAGATCTATTTTTAACTTGTAATGAGCAGGTGAGCATCTTTCTATGGAATCTTGCGCAATATAAATTTGAGTAATAATAATAATAGTCATATAAGCTTGTGAATATTGTTCAACCCTACCTACAACTTGGTTTTCTTACCGTGATGATGCATGTCTTGATTGAACAATAATTGAATCAACTTCTGCTTCAGTCTTACCAACCAAAATGCCACCAATATTATCTGTAGTTACTGATTTCTTTGCACCTTCCTGAAAAACAAACAGGTATATAAGTTTCCTTTATTTATTGGTTTGCTAAATGTTTCATTCATCCCACCTTTAGCTGAACGGGAGTACTGATAATCCAGGCTGGGTTGAACGCGGCTGACTTGGGATACATTGCCATGGATAACCAAATATTGATCCATTGTGCTGTTACCGTGGCAAGCTGACGTGACTGGACACACCCAATTGTACTTCTCCAAACCTAGGTGTATGGATAACACACGCTTCTTATTAAATAATTCTACACAACAATTAATGTATGTTCGTAACATTACTTGTGAAACTCATTAATAATTCATGAAGAAAACACAAAAGAAATCATGAGCGTGAAGGGATTTGTATAACTGATACAAAATGATGCTGCAACTTGTCAACAAACTGTGAACAACCAACGTGAACACAATGTGATATCAACTTGTTGGAATAATTTGTACTAACTCTGCTGGAGGCTGATTTCCTAATATAGAATAACTCTTTCTTTACCTCCTGGAGCAGTCCAAGTAATTCTTTATTTTGTTCCACTAAAAATCTTTCAAAGAAATGTCGCATGGCGTCTTCTAAGATAGGAGTCAACCAACATGTCTGCGGTGAACTTGCCTAACAAAAAAAATGACATGACACACTTCAAAACTTATGCAGTGGTCTTGACATACACGTTCTTTGTTGTAGGTTCTCGCTAGCCTAAACTTCAGTTACTACACCAAAAACCCCAAACGTTACCTTATCTAAGCGTTTTCTGTAAGTTTCCAGGATAATCTTCAATGTTTGTAAAGTCGCCTTCCTCACAGACAAAATATTATGTCTTAGGAATGGCCAGAGCCGCGGAACAACACTACTGAGAGACACTCCTTGCTTTCCTGTGATCGCCTCCTCTGACTGAATACCAGTTGATGAAACAATGGCTGCTAACAACATCAGGATACTGCTGGTGGAGGCTGACAGATCATCCAGCAGACACAATGATTCCCACAGTATCCACAGAATTGCTGGAATCTTCAAGA